TATATATATATTATATACATATACATATACACACACACACACATAGTATATAGACACACACAGTATATCCACACACATAGTATATAGACATACACACACATACATAGTATATAGACACATATAAACACACACAGTATATAGACACATATACACACAGTATATAGACACACATACACACACAGTATATAGACACACAGTATATAGACACACAGTATATAGACACACACACACGCACACACACACACAGTATATCTACACACACACGCCTAGACACATGCATTTAGTATACATTTTCTTGTACACACTTTATGTATTCGCCGTTCTTATCCGTCTTCTTCCCAAATGCCACCGGAGAGTAGACGCGGAAGAACTGGTGGAAGAACGCGCTGGCCGAGAGCCACATCCAGTTTCCAGCATTCAGGGCCCAATCAGCATCCAGAAGCAGCTCCTCAAACACCTGCGAGCAGAGAAATCCAGCCAAGCGTACCGGTTTTAGATTAGAGCGGGATTAGAACACCTGTCAGGTTTTTACTGACATAGGAGTTCCTGTTGGGGATATTTCCCCTCGCTTCCTGTCCAAACAAGACACGAGGCGATCTCCCCAATGGGAGCACAGAAAACAATGAAAACCTGACAACACGTTCTCCTTCTTCATGTTTTATTACTGTCTGTGTTCCCATTGGAGAGATTTTGCTCACTTCCTGCGTCAGTAACCGCACATAGTAGGGGGGGGGGGTTGGCTGGAACAAGATTTCTGCAGAAACTGGATCAGTTGTTTTAGACATCTGGCTATAGAGTAGGGAACACCGTATACACGCACGCAAGCTGTATGTATATACTAGATCATGTAATATATAATATAGTAGATAACATGTAAATATATGATATGTACAGAATATTAAAGGAGAACTATGGGGTTAAGTCTTTTCCCCATAGTTCTCCTTAGGGTAACGGGAGGACACAAACTAGCGTCCTCCCGTCACCCTAGGCTCAGTATATAGGGAGCTACAGCTCGCGGTATACTGAGACGCCGCAGCCTCTAGAACTGTATCGAGTCTCCTGAAGCCTCAGATAATATTATATTGATCCCTCTAATCTGTTCTATGAAGTTTAGTAAATCTGTGATTAGAGATTGACCGTCTTCTGTTTTGGGTGTTACGGCCGCTTTACCCGAATTATTTAAACTAAGGTCAGCGTATTTCACCTATGTATCTATTACTGACCGATAGACGGAACCCCCTTTTCCCATCTCCGATAATCTGACCTTTTGTCCTTCTTCCCAGGATATCCACAGGTCGCCCCGAGTCAGGAAGCAGGCTACGGCATGGCGGGCCAGGTGGTGGATCCATCCCTCGGTCCTCAGCTGGGTCATGATGGCATCTATGAAGGGGTAACCCGTTCTGGCCTAATAGAAGCAGAGGTGTAGTGGTCAGCAGTACAGGAATCCCATCCGTCTCATGTTTAGAAATCAGGGATATGGAGCCCAAAAAAAATGAATGGCCTGTACCCGCTCTGCTATAGAGCAGCCCTTTATACCCTCCGCAGAGCTGCCTTGGTCTGCAGCTGGGGCCCCATATGACTAGCAATCACGGGGCCCCATACAAAATTTTGCTATGGGGCCCTGTGATTTCTAGTTACGCCCCTGGGCCCCACCATAAACATCAACTTTCTGATCTCACATAGGTTGAACTCGATGGACTTGTGTCTTTTTTTTCAACCTGACTAACTATGTAACATTTGAAACGTCTCCCGACATCTGCTTTCTGGGACCAGTTAATGATCTGGCTCCAACAAAAGCACTTTTGGGCCTCTTGCTACGCTACCCCAGAAAGGCCATAACCAAGGCTTGGGGGGAAAAACAAGCAGAACCTTCCACAATACAATGCCGGGAACATGTGAAGAGTGAGAGCACCACATGAAATGATCAGTCCAGTATAGATTGATTAATCTTGATAAAAGGCCAATAAAGAATAGCGTTTCAAGGGGATCTCGGCTCTCCCTTCCTTTAACTGGTAATAGACTGTATGAGCAATAAATCTACAATATTAATAAGAGTGTCGGCACCAGCAAAATAAAGGCTGCCCCCTAAAGTTAATCGGTGCTCTGGCTTGATCAATCAACCACAACTGATCTATAATAAGTTACCTTGGGGTACCTACATTGCTTTCCACGGCTTACAACCCAAGCTGCCTTGCTCCAAAGGATCCGGATGCACAACTTTTTGAACTGTCATTAGGAACCAATCAATGGATTGATTCCTAATGAAGAAATAGAAAGAAATGCCCACCACTATCCCCCCCCCCCCGGATCTTGCCCATCTTCTGCTCAATACTTCTATCCTGCTCCCCCTTCCCCTTCAAGGAGAGGAAATAGCCTGGTAATGATGCCACTCTGTTGTTTCTCCCTCCGTCATACTGACTGAGGCTGCATTAGGGCTAAGGTGTTCCAACAAGGGTCTTTTTCATATATTCAAGAAAAAAGAAAAGGCTAGTTGCAATCCTTACCGGTATGACCCCGTGATCGGGGAGGGGTGCTCGGAATGACTGCGGATGGCGCCGCCAAATACAGATAATTGCAGAAACGTCACCAGCACACCAAATCCTTATACGATCAAAGTTCGTAGATTTTATTGCAAAGCAATGCCTGATGAAGGGACCCTGTGTGGCCCCGAAAGCGCTTGTGTAACTGACATGAGTTTGCAATAAAATCTACGAACTTTGATCCTATAAGGATTTGGTGTGCTGGTGACGTTTCTGCAATTATTTTTCATATATTCGGCCCAGCCATGCACTGCGCCATTGCTGCCACTAGATGGAGCCGAGGAGCAGAGGATGATCTTTTGCTCCTGGGCTCCATCTAGTGGTTAGAATTGCAAAATTGCATTTGCTCAGTGTAAAAGGTCCGCCACACGGAAATCCCGCGCGATCGTACGATTATGGTAAGGTGTGTGGAAGCCGTGCGACCTCTACTACTGTAAGGTCGCATGACTTTTAACATACGGACATGTTCGAAACCCCGCCGAGCATCGTACGATGTTCGGCGGGTTTGTGGCATGTCCGTACGATAAAAGCCGTACGGGCCGGTGTGCGCAAGCGCACACTGCCCGTTCAGCATTGCGGTCATCGGAAGCCCGCCTCTCAGGGGGCGTGGCTTGCGATCATCACAAGTACGATCTGCCAATGCAACATAGGCAGATCGTACGTTTTTTTTTAAGTACCAAACAACCATCGCAAGACAAAAGTCTTGCGATGGTTGTAAGGTGTGTGCCCAGCCTAAGGCTGGTGGGAAGATTTATAAATAGCCCCTTAAATGTTTTCCAAAAACTGCCCAGGGGGGTGTTATGGCCTCACTTTTATTTATTACTTGACGGCTTCTATTGGCTCATATTTTAAAAATGTTGACATACAGAAGTGAATACAAAAGGTGAAGCTGTACACACACGGAATTCCCTTCCATCTTGTCGAAGTTTGCTATCCCGGCCCCGGCCACGTAGTAGAATTCCCGCCACAGCAGCTGCCCGTGGAGCGATACCGGCGGAGCCGAGTGCTTCTTCTGAAAGAGACATAAGAGACGCCATGATGCTCAGCAGTCTCCGAATCTACGTTCAGCCCTGCACCACCCTCTCAGCCGCCGCAGTATCCAGAGCTCCGTTATTAAAGGGGAACTCCAGACAAATGCAAATTTTAGGCTTTCGGTGGAACGTGGTGAGCGAAGTCTGGTGCAGTTGTTTCCTTTTTGCACCTTCTAGAAGATTTGACTTCTCCAGGAAGAGTCAATTCCCTAGCACAGCTTTCCCACTCCTCACGTGTCATGGCCCCCTCCTTCTCTGGGAGTGTCTAATTACTGTGTGTGATGGCCCAGCTCCTCTTCCTCTCCCTACATATCCATTTAGGTAGCTGGCAGGGGAGGAGTCAAGGGGAACATTATAGAGCAGTGGTGTCACTAGGGGGTGCCACCCGCACCCGGGTGACACCATTAGAGGAGTGACACCATATTGACTGACAGTCATCTTGGTGTCACCCTCTCTGAAAAGCCGGGCACTCGGTCATGAACCAGAGAGCACGACAGTTGCTCGAGAGAGAGAGAGGAGGGGACCCGGTGGCATACCTCATAGACGCCGGTAGGTAACAGCGCGTGACGTCAATCACGTGCGTGCGCGATGACGTTGCACATGCGCGATGACGTCACTACGGGTGACACCCTGTAACCGCTCCGGGTGACACCCTGCCTCAGGATATAGAGGATGTTATAGAGTGTCACTTGAGCGACGGTTCGGAGTCTGAGAAATGCCAGGCAGCCATCGCTGGAATGCCTGTAGACATGTAGTGGCTGCAAAGAGGGTGCAGGAGATCAGCGGCACTGAGAAACAGGTGAACAAGTATTGTTTATAATACAAAGTGTGAACTCAATGTCATTCCGTTGGGGGTTATATCTACTTGAACCCCCTTCCCGTACCCAGACTTTAACATGCGATCTAAGGTCTCACCCCTTGGTAAATCTCCGCCAGCCGCCAGTAAAACAGTCGAGCCGACAGACAGCCGAATTTCATGTAGGGGCTCAGCACAGTGGTACTGGGGGTCAGCGAGTTCGGCTCTGTGTCCGGTTTCTTGAAATTACATACCCATGCCTGAGAAGAGACAGAGAAACAATAAGAGGGGGGGGGGTCTGTTCATAAACAATTCACCCGGGAATAGAAGCAAAAACGAATGTTCCTTATCTATTTCTCCGGGTCGAATGTATTGTGATGTAATACTGCAATACGGCCCCTAGATGGAGCTGAGGAGCGCAGTAAATAAGTATTTTTATTTTCCAGAAAAGATTATATATTAGTAACATTAGTTTTTGCCATTATTCACACAAATCAAACATTCACAGATGTATTCAATTTTGGAGGTCCTGACCGTCCTCTTCATGTTGAGGTCCAGCCTCTGCAGAGCCTGGGTCTCTCCGCCCGGATACAAGAGAGGTCCAACCTGCGAGGGGTCTTGTCCCAGCTCTTCTAGGGTGGGAACGCCGTATTTCTCATCGTAAGACGGCTTCCAGGGAGTGCAGCAATCTGAATGACGACAGACAGGAACTGGTGA